AGAACAAACTGTCGAGAACATACTCAAAGGGAATTATATAAGAACAAAACCATGTGGAACGTTGCCAAAGAGAACAAAATGCGAACAATACTTTCGGGAACATTTCTAAGAGAGCGAAATGGTAACAAAAGTCTCCGGAACGTTTTGGCAAAGAAAAAACGAAAACAAACGTGTAAGGAATTTTCGCTCGAAGAACTAAAGTCTCAGAAACTTTCTGACAGAGAACGACATGGGAACAAATCTTCTCTGAACTAATTGGAAGCGAGAACAAAATTTTTCTCTTCCATTAGCTTGAAATGTTTGAATATCAAATAAAGTCAACGAAAGACTTAAGACACGAACCTTTCTTGATGATGAACGATCTGGAAGTTGAAATGATCCAGATTTGCTTTGCAATCTTGGTTCTCACGGAAACGATTTTTCATACGAGAAGGCAGAAAGGCGTTTTTTTTTTGTGAAATTATGGTTCCTGCCATAGACTACAAATGCAAAATTAACTTGGGGCTTGGCTGCATAGACTGTCAAAGAGAGGAAAATAAAATTAGTTACTAAGAAGATCCAAATACAGTGTGCATTTAATACAATTATCACATTTTTTAAGCTCTGGCAGAACAGAGCTATTTTAATTTGCATTTTCCTAAGTTTTGCAACGAGAAAATACTTGCACCATTTTATTCGATACCCACCAAGTACTTGTTCACGCGCATCGAAGTACAAAATCTACTCAGTACTTGGCAGAGGTACTCGAGTATATACTTATAACTACTGTGATCGTGGTGCTCCGATTTGAGATATGGGGAGGAGACAACAATTCTCAACGCTTTTGGGTAGCGTCACAGGAAGCGTGTTTGACGAAGCAGAACCCAGAACAATGTGAAGGGACCTCTACCCGACCAAGATGAGATGAGAACAGCAATAATTCGTCTTAAAAATAATAAAGCTTCTGGAGCTGATGGAATAACCACCAGCTGGGCTATTCGAACCTGGCGGCGAAGAGCTGGTAGGGCCCTTGTATCAGCTGTTAGTAAGAATTTGGTCTGATGAATACGTGACGGAAGATTGGAGTCTCAGTGTACTTTACCTAATACCATTGTATACAAGGTCCTATATATAGTTCCGTGGGAAAGACTGAAGCACTTTATGAAGCACTGTGACTTCAGAGCTGTCAAATTCATCACTGAAAAGATTCATACAAATCAGCAAATTGTAGAAAATATCTAATACGAGCAAACGAGGTTTTAGAATGGGCTATGCACTTTTGTACAACTTCTTGAATCTGATGTTGGAAAGCTGAACCAGATACATATAAGTAAAAAAGCACGATGCTGTTGGCGTATGCACATTACATTGAGATCGACGGTCTCAACACCAGACTCGTAAGTGTAGTATTTTGCTGATTACAAAAATAACCAAGCCAAGCGGGCATCAGGACACTATACAATGAAAGGATCAACTCTAGGCCCGTCAAGGAGTGCTTCGACACTCTTCAGTTTTTAGCAGCACAAAAACACGATAACACTGCGCTGCGTACCAGGTCACTGCGGGATCGAAGGACAGAGAACAACGTCGTCCATACCTCGAAATTCCATAAATTACCTCTCCTCGTCGGTTATTCATGCGAAATTCAGACCGGTGCTTCTTTCTTCTTAGTGCTTCCATTGAGTTCATGGGCATCCTTACGTTACCATTGCCTGCGGAGAGGCAAGAATAGCAAACTGCTGTTGCTTTATTCAAAGGATCCCCTGCGGCTCTAAAGTACTTACCGCACTTGGAATTTATCCACTTGGTTAGCTTGTTAGCTGCGAAGGAGACTTGCAAAATAGTACTGTTTCCACAAGGACAGACCATAAGTCTTCTGCCGCCAGGTCGTAGGAGACTTCGTTTTCTTAGAATTTTCTAGCATTAGTGCGATAGTGCTGTGGGTATAAATAATTTAGTTTCACCTGAGCCTACGATATTGTATGGCTGGTCCAGAGATCAACTGGCCAATACTTAGTAAACGCGTTAAAGTAAAATGTTCTCTCGGTAAGAGCAGGTTTCAGTGGGTAATACACATGAAGGCTTATAAGAAGTACAATTGTATTATTTGTACCAATATGTATACGTACGTATGTATGTGCATATATACATATGCACGTACTCACCTTGTAGTATGTACATACTTACTACGCTAGTCTAAGCTTTGAGAACCGCTCAAATCACGTTTGTGATTCAATTAAATGATATTACGCCACATTCGTTTAGACTGTGTGTTCATATGCACGTGCACATACATACATATATATGTATGTGCATTAGGGTGCCTCACCAAAAAAAAAATTGCGGTTTTTTCACTGAAATTATAAAATGTATTATAGTCTAAGACTTCCGCCAATTAAGATTTATGTACGTGAGCTGAACCAATTGGAAAATACCACCAAAAATCTCTGACCTATTTTGATTGCATTGACACAATTTTTAAACATTTTTATGCAGACCTTCTCAGAGAGAGTCTATCATCTGAAGTGATTTTTTAGAAAAAATAAATTTAAAAACTAATTTTATTTAGGATTGGGTACAAAATCATTATGGCTCAATATTTTGTATTTTAAATACAGTATTCGAAATTCTGTATTTAAAACTCTGTATAGCGAAANAGTCTATCATCTGAAGTGATTTTTTAGAAAAAATAAATTTAAAAACTAATTTTATTTAGGATTGGGTACAAAATCATTATGGCTCAATATTTTTTTAAATACAGTATTCGAAATTCTGTATTTAAAACTCTGTATAGCGAAATTCTGTATTTTAATATTCTGTATCGCAAAATTCAGTATTTTAACATTCTGTATTGCAAAATTCTTTATTTTAATATTCTGTATTACAAAATTCTGTATGGAAAAAATCGGAAAACCAAATGGATATATATAACACAAGTGCACACTTGTTTTATTTGGTTTTTTATTGTTATGAATTTGATAAAGAAAAATTTTGGCAATACACTTCATTTCTTTATCCATAGGTTTTCCGATTTTGGCATTCAGAATTCCGTAAAGCAAATATACATATACATATATAGTTTATACTAACACTCAATATAGAAAAATTTAAGGAATGATAAAAGCAGATTAGACTTAAGTCATATTTGTTTTCTAAAAAGAATTGCTAAGAATTTCATGGTATAAATATTAACTTCTTTTGCCGATTATTTTTTATTTAAGAACGGAATAAGTTTGCTTTAATTTCAGTATTACATATATAAGTTAATAGTAAAAATATATTTTTACAACAAGTTTTCTAAGTATGAACCAAATCGGCCCATAAATACTGGCTTACCAAATATCTCCCTCCTGCGCCACCTAGCGGACTATTTGCATTGTCATCGGGTTACGAGCTAAGTTTGCAGTTTCAAGTGATTGCAAAATTCGAGGACATACAAGTGAAGTTAAATAAAAGTTTGTAAGAAATACAGGATTTTGGCCCGAAATAATTTTGACCCAGAATTTTTTCTTTCCAGAATTTTAATTCTACATTATTTTGTTCTTACAGAATTTTAGAATACAGAAGAAGAATTTTAACTGCAAGGAAGTTGTTCACATTTTTTCCAGAATTTTCGACCGCATGATTTTTTAAAAGCAGAATTTACTATCGCTGCCTTCTTTTTACATATAAGTTAGATTCTATAATTCCGATGGAAAAACAGTACCAAGTTTTTTTTATTTTTTTATGGAGAGTGATGCACCCTATTGTACATACAAGCATCAGAGTATGATGCAGCTCAGTTGTTTATTTCGATTGGTCTCTCAATGCTCAATAGGCCAAATAGGTTGCTACAAACGTATTGCTAACTTGGCCCGAAGTAAGGCTTAGCTGAGACAGAGCATTGGGCTTGTCAAGCCGAGTGTTACTTGGTTAGTTGTGTGACGATCGACTTTGGGCGCTGTTGTATTGTAAGAAGAATGTCGGGTATAGCGGCGGATCGTGTAAAAAATTAGCAGTTTGTAGATTCAAAAAATGAGATAATACATTGCATTTAAATACATATCTACAAACATACTTATTTAATACTGTTGGAGTTGCAAAGACTGATAAAAAAAAGGGTTCAAAAAATATCTTGCAACCCATTAAGACGCGTTCAGCTTTTTGATAGCTATTCCTACGAGTCTGTACAAGTTTATACAGAAGGTAAATGTCAGTAGCCAAATTGACAAAGACAGAAATACAACTATGTATGTGAAGCTAAAATCATGTGGAAGTCAATTTAAGTAAATTGCACCCACTACATTAAATCGAATATGTGTGTACTTATGTACATACATGCATGTGTATGTACTAGAAAATTTATAATTCTTCCAAATAAGTCCATACTTGTGTCGGTGGGATTTTATGTTCCAAAATACATTTACATAAATAAAAAAAAACAATTCTGGTGTGTTTATAATTAACTACTTATAGATTATGAATATCTACATACGTTCGTATGTGTGCATTTATATATTGTATATGTGTACGAAAATTTGTACTGTATAAATAAATTATGGTGCATGTGTTTATATGCATACATACGTATGTACATAAGTGCATACCTACACATGCATTTATACATATTTAAATCATTTTTATAAAGAACCAAAATAAATACAGAAATGCTGAAATGCAATACATATGTATGTACATATGTACTATGTATGTATATATGAACATGCATATCCCAATAGAAATCGGTTGTATGCATTCATGAAGTATGCATGCTGTATGAGTGAATAAGTGTGAGCAATTCATGCGTAGTCATGAATTTGCACAAATAAATTCAAATTCCAGCGAATTGCAAGCGAACGTACGTTGTTGTTGTTATTTTAAGTACACTTCTTAATAAATTTGAAGTGGAATTTTTGTAATATTTTCAGTCTTGTACAAAAATTTTAGTGAACGGACGTATTTTGAGATAATTTTCAGCACTAGCAGGCATTTACAAGATATGCATTTGCATATTTAAATGCTACTTTTTTGTATGTGTATGCATACAATTTCTACTGGGATGTTGGTATTTGTATATGTATGGGTTATGTGATTTTATACACCTTCAAAGTAATATAGCAAAAGTCTACGCCGGCGTAGAAGAGATCGTTTATGCCGTTGACGATCGGAGTAAAATATTTGCTACTTGAATTAAATGAATTACGTGAGCGTTTGATATTTGGTCGTCATCATTTTTTACCTGTTCTTTTTTGTTGCATTATTGTATTAGCTAAACAGCTGTAAGGCCATAAAGTTATGTGTATGTAGTAGGGAAGGGCTTGAATGACGAGTTACCTGACTATAAATGTTGATTCGAAGAAATAAATAAACAAATATCAAACAAGTTATTCAATATTTTTGTATCCAGAAAAAAGCAACGGTAAGTCCCAGATATTTAAAATTTGCATTTTGTTTGACTTAAATTGGACGAGCTACAAAACTGAATACTCTGAATTTTTCTACGAAATCTAATTAAAAAACTCAAACTTTTGATAAAACGTTGTCGAATTTGGCTCGTTAGTTTTGTACAAAGTTTAAAATTTTGATTAACATTGTTTTTGTTAGATAACAAGCTACACTTTCATAAAAAAAGTATAAAAATTAAATAATTGAAAGAAAAATAGCCAAAGAATGCTAAAATGTTTCTTCACTATTTATATTTTAGCCACTGTACATACAGTTCATAAATATCTGTGGTGTCAGGTACATGAATAATAACTTCATTTATGATACTCTTGGCTTTTTGACTAATTTTAATTATTAAAAATAAATACCTGCTCCGGAGTTAGAAAATTATACCGGTTGTAACATCCCACAACAATCTTTGTATAACCACTTTCTAAAGTCTCTTGTATATTCCGCGAAGTGGAATTTTTTAAAAAGTGGAATTGAGTTATCATTTTTATATACCTGAAACCACATTAAGATATGCCGCGGAAAAAAGTAGCTAACTTCTCTGAGCGAATCGTAAAATTGTTTCAATTCATTTCCTGCCACCTTAGTATTTTGTATCAATGGTACTGAAATTAATGTTCGAAGATTTGTCGGCATCGGCTAGTATCCGCACAAATATCCAGCATCGGTATATGACCTTTTAGCCAATTCTTGGCCGACTATTTGAATTTCTTTTCATATGCACTTTATTTCTGCATTAGTTGTATTTCTATCTCACATTTTATGTTGTATGACTAGTGTTTTTTGGTAAAATTTATTCAGAAAAAAAGCAAATAAAATTAAATTATTTATATAAAAAAAACTTAGCTTAAGTATAAGCTCTTATGCATATGGGTCATTATTTTAAAAATACCTCTACAAACATCCCTGGTCAAAAGCAATAAGCGCTTAAATCGAAAAAATCTGAACTCGAGAAAAAAGTTTTAAACATTTGGATTGTAATATTAGCCTTATGGGGCAACAAAAACTTGGACCTCTATAACTTTTTATGTAAGCGAGATGAAGATTTGACATAGCATGTTATAGCACTTGCTGAATGCGATAACTTAAGCACTTATTGCTTTTGACCGCAAATATCAGCACATACATATTTAGTCAAAAAACTTCTTTTTTTTAATTTGAAGTTTTCTAGTTCGAATGATTTACGACAATTCACTGAACTATGGCTCGCGTCAGAAATAATTCAATATAAATTTTAACTATAAGAGACCCTGCTCTACAAAAAAAATGGATTTTTTAGATAAAGGTGTGGCGGATAGCTGTTATATATTTTTGATTACATATATTCCTTGCTTGTAATATGTAGTAGTGCAAAATGTAATAATTATTTGAGAAATTCAATTGTTATTATTTTTTTTTTGCATATAAATTAAAATACTAATCAAAACCTACATATCGAGCCCTAACCGCCAAGATAACGAAAACGAAATTTTTTCAAAATTTTGAGGTCTGAGGTCAAAAGAAGCTTAATATAATACTTCTTTTGTCCTCTGTTAGGAGCTAGAAGGAGTGCTCGCCCGTAAGCACATGCAATAAGGGAAAAGGATTTTAAACTGAACACGCTCGGAGATTTGTGGGGTAAAATCCATTGCGACCTAAAATGAATCTTTGGATAATTCTATTTTTTTTCACTGAGCTAAAGCGCTCATAATAAGCTGTTTCAAGAGTTCCTTCACGCAAAGGTTGACTTTTATGAGCTGAGTGGTTAGGGGTACGTACTACCACTCCGTAAGACCTGAGTAACATCTAAATTAGAACAGCGGTCGAATCGATTTTAATATTGACAATAACGTTCGACATACAAGCAGACAAGATAGAATCAATTTAAAAACAAATCCTAGTTTTTGCTTTAATAAATTTCCATTGGTATTCTCAATACAATCTTCCGCCTTATACGAGGCGTTCAAAACTAATTTTTATGGTTAAATTACTGATGGGCTCAATTTCTAGTCCCGTTCTTCTGGCTGAAGTTAGACTTGATGTTGCCTGCTTTTGAAAGCTTGTAAAATACCGAGACACACTTAATTTTTTGTCGTGGACTACGGATCTGTATTCTGTTTTTCAGATCATTATTTTCCCCAAGATATCTTCTTTTCATGAAAACCAAGTCAAGCTTTAACAGTTAGAACCGTTCTTCCTTGAATTTCTACCTTCGGAAAGGTATTGTTGCATTGTAGATATTAAGTAAATTGAGGCCTGATTTCCAGAGTAGACGGTGATGGAGTATTCCACTTATCACAAGAGAGTAGCCTTCTTCTTGATATCTCTTACTTCAGCATAGAAGACACTACAGTACTCCGGTGTAGGTAGTAGTTATTCTGAATAGATATTAGTGCCGACTTTATTAGTAAGTTCAGAATCACTATACTAGGGGTCTTCATCTAAAGTGATAAAGGGATAAATTGCTTCAATTTATCAGTTTATCCGCATTCTTTCTTGAACGAATCTTGGTAAATACTTGCATAAAATTGTTTATTATTTACCTTATATGGCTAGTTACGTTTTATTCTTACCTCGTCCATTGTGTTCATTATGCTTTTTTCATGTATGTACGTAGCAAAAGCGACTACCTGGCAACCTATGAGGGTTGAATTTTGCTGAAATTTATACATTTATGCACCAACATCGTTTGATAAAGTGATCAACTTCGGTTAAATAGATTTCCATACAAAGTTTGACAGTTCATTTATCGAAATGATAAATTCATCATTATATCAAATTTATCAACAGTTTATCACTTCTGATATTACCGCAAACTCGCCCAACACTAATAAAAAATACCCTTTTAAAGTTTCTCATCTCAGCTTGACCAGCAGTGGGACTCTACACGCTAAATTTCTATAATTAAAAATTTCTAACTGATTAACAAATGGGCCTAAAGATGTGCAACGTGATAACCGAAGGAGTTCAGTATAAAATCGTAAGCATTGTGGATAAGTTATGTTTCCTTGGAGGCTGTGCATATTTTTAGGCATTAACCTTTTGCCTTGAGAGATTCTTAGCGATAAAAATTTAGCGTGGCGATACTTGAATCCCACTTCTGATTTGATTCGACTCCGGTAAGTAAGTTTTTTCTGCCCAACATATTTCACTATCAAGAAAAAACTGCGCATATAACTGAGAAGTAAACTTCTAAAAGTTAAAAAAGGAAGAAAGGGACCCCGTTGTAGAAATGGCGTTTTGGTTGAATGTGCCCCGTATTATTATAAGTCATTATAAATTGAAGCCGCTCGAATCCAGCTTCAACATCACGTTGTCGCAATAAATATACATTAGATTTGTTAAAAAAATACTATTTTTGGAAATTCATAAACGCTACATCAAAATATTGTTATTTGAAATAAAAAAAAAAGATTTTTTGGGGGTCGCGCTAGTCGGTTTTTTATAAAAACGCTGTTTTTCGTGACATGTTAAAGTGCAGCTAAAAATTTTTTTTTTACATGTAATTACTCACGTATTGTTGGGGAAGTTTGGACAGTTCAAATGGGCCTAGTGCCCGAAAATATGCTTTCGAAAAGCGACTGCTAAAACTAAAACGTTGATACTGACCGATTTACGCATTACCATGGGTTGAGACTTGTTACCAGGGGTTTCTGGGGTTGCTAATTAGGAATCTGAAGTCAGTTCTAGGCGAATCCAATATGGCGATCAACTTTTAAAAAATTTATTTGATTTGATTTGTTCGAAATTCGAATCGGCCATTTTCAATTTTGAAAATCTGACATCAGATTTGTAATCAGAAACCCACTGGTAACGTTTTAATTTTAGTAATTTTTTAAGAATTTGATAGCCATATTGGATACGTCATTTTGAATTTAAAAAATTGACTTCAGATTCGTGGTAAGCTATCCCAAATTTTTCTTTTTTTGAATTGATCGCCATTTTGGATCCGCCATTTTTGAATTTTGTGTGAAGTGACTTCAGATTCCTAATTAGCAACCCCAGAACTCATATTTTCTGAATATGTTTGCGGGGCTATGCTTGTTCATACATAAGTACATATATATATGTACATACGTAGTTGTTAAATAAAAGTGAAAACGACTATAACCGAGATTTACGGCTTCTTACTTAATGAACAATGTTAGTGTGACACACGTGCACTTACTATTAGGTTTGTTTTGCACATTTTCGGCCTAGATACGGGCATATGAGCGTAAGGGCGCAGTGCTTCTAACTGTGAAGAAACTGCCCAAAACCATGGCAATACAAAAAACCGATTTTCGTGCCTAAAAACAAACGTCAGATCGCAAAAAAATTATTAAAAAAAAAAACAAGTAATTTTTAAACAAAAAACAAAACCGACTTTAGTTCTTATATATATATATATTTCATGATCCAATGATAGGATTTAATCTGAGACAGTACCTTTCAAAATGCAAAAGAAAATTTGAAATCGGTTGACGTGGTCCAAAGTGCGGTACAATACATAAAAAAAAACAAAATATTCCGACGAACTGATATCCTCCTCCGTTTTTGGAAGTCGGTTAAAAAACAACACTTTTGTTTGAAAATGACCCATAGCAGCTTACTTGGGCATTGAAATGCATACTGTTGAATGGTTCCAAAATACCATGAATTAGTCTATATGAAACGTTTTTTATTTAGATTATGCCTTTTTATTTTCAAAATGGGCAGCAAAAATTGTATAATTCATTTATTCGTTTCAATTTATATTTGACATATTTGAATGAATGTAGTACAGAAGCCTTTGGTTAAAAGTATTGGATAATAAATCGTAACTTAAATTATGTACGTTTTATACATTTAAAAGTTTTACGTTTTTTTACGGAACTAAAACAATCATACTCATATAGTGGGAAGTCTTGCTCATCTAATAAAATATACGGTTTAATATTTGGGTTATTGTTTGTTTTTTGACATTATTTTCCTCTTACTAGGGGCTTAGACGCAATCATTAAATTGATGAAAAGATCTTTGTTGGATGCCGCACGAAAACTGCAATTGCAAGAGTTACTGAGCTATCGCGCCATCTGAATGTGCCCATAGATAAATAACTAATGTATTAAATTCCTTTCACAAAAATATCAAACAATTTCTAAGTCCCTTGAGAATTTCTCAACTTTAAATTTTCGCAGTCATAGATGAATTTGAGCCGTATCACTTAATTTGTGTGCAAGACACTTTTCAAAATTCATATGCTAAATTATTTTTCTTTACAGTAAAAACGAGACAAAAAAATATTCGCATCCAAACATCACCAACCAGTCATTGCTTCTGTGTCTTAACATATCGGATTCTGGTCGTCGTCAAAGATATGAAACGCTAACGTTGCCACAATGCCCCGAAAACTATTGAAATTTCTTATTATCTTCGACAATACATCCTTGCTTTACTTTCCCGGACAATTTCTATCAGGTCGTGTACTCATCGAACTGCAAGATGATACTCCTGCTTTGGGGCTGCATTTTCATGTTGTCGGCGAAGGAGTGGTGCGCGCTGGTACGGCACGACAGGAGCGTACATACGACAAAGAAAACTACATTGACTTTCGAATGAGACTTTTGGGCGATGTTGATCAAGGCCCATCAGTCCTTTCGCCTGGCATACACAGTTTCCCATTCAAACTTGGCCTCCCAGTGGGATTACCGTCAACTTTCTTGGGCCGTTATGGCTGGATACAATACTACTGTAAAGCTGCTCTACGCGAACCAAATGGTCTAATACATAAAAACCATCAAGTCTTCATTGTGATGAACCCGATTGATCTCAATTTGGAGAGGCCCATTCTATCGGTATGTGAAGTTAACATGTGCAAACATAAATATTGTACGTACATATGTATGTAATAATAGTATTGTTATTATAACAAATAATCTTTTTTAATTCAGCAACCGTTTACTTGTGAAATCGAACACAAACTTGGTGTGGCATGCGTGGGCGGTGGTAAAGTTGTTGCTCGGGTGGCACTTGATCGCGGCGGTTATGTACCTGGGGAGAGTATATTGATCACTGCACTAATTTCGAATCACAGTAATATGACGATCAAACGAACAAAAGCTTCCCTTACAGAGGTATGCAGCACCACATATGCCTATATCTAATTTTGTTTTTTTTAGTTATTATAGCTAATTTTTCATATTTATCAATATAGACCATTGAATATTTGGCACGAGGAAAAGTGGTGCAAACGGAAAAACGTGCCTTGGCCGCTCTAGCACGCGGGAAGATACGTCCCGGCGGCAAGGACGAATGGCAAAACGATAGCTTGTATGTACCACCGCTTCCGCCAACGAATTTACATGGTTGCCATCTAATAAAAATCTCCTACGATGTGTTTTTTGTCATCGAACCGAAGTCGTTAGAAAAGGAAATTAAATTGCAGTTACCCATAGTTCTAGCCACTTATCCATTTCGTAATAATGGCAATGATGTCTCGAATACATGGCCAGATTCAGTACTTAAACCGGATACTCATTATCCATCAACGTTGCCAATTTTTAGGCCGTGGTTGCATGAGAAGCCCGATCCAAATTAAATGTTAAACCAATGAGAGCGAAATACATGCATATGTAATTACATTTGTACATTAGGGTGGTCCAGAACTTTTTTCTTCAGCTACTCGCCAGAACTGAAGAGCATCGAAAATAAGAAGACGATAGATTGACCTTGAAGTTTTCCGTGTATTTGACATTAGGAATACACTATAAAAAATCGTTGTAAATAAATATTTTTAATCGAATAAGAATATTTCCCACCACAGATCTTCAAAATATAAAATTATGGTGCATAGTCTACTTAGAAATTTTACTAAATAAATATGTTATTTTATGTGTTCCTAACCACATAACGCACGTAATGAAAAAATATTTAGTAAAATTTTAAATTTAACTATGTATGCAACATCATTTTATTTTTTGAAGATTACTGACGAGAAATACACTCCCAGTAATTTGAATAGCACACCCTTTCGATCCTCAGTATGTACAGTTTTCCTTTTTCTGTTTCATATTCATCAATTTTTTACAAAAATTTACCATATTCCTCGTGTAAATCCGATTTTAAAATTTTATACAAATTAAAAAAAAAAACATGCAAAGGGGTGTGCTGTCCTATAGACCTACAGTCTATGCAGTTTTATGGCACATGCAATTTTGGTATAACAAAGTTCAAGTTTCAAGCGGCTACAAAATACCGTTGATTTTTTAATTTTTTTTTTACAGTGTGATGCACCTTCAACAAAAAAATATCAAAAATCAAGGGGTTTTTGTTGCTATTTGAAACTTGAACTTTTTGTACTAAAATTGCATGGGCTACAAAACTGCATACCCGAAATTTTTAACATAGCAGAACCCTTTGTTGGCATGTTTTTTTTTAATTTGTATGATATTTTAAAATCGGATTTACTAGTAGAATCTGCAAATTTGTATAAACAATTAATGAATATTAAGCAAACAAAAGGGTGTGTACTGAGGATCAAAAGCGTGTGCTATTCAAAAGACTGGGATTGTATTCTTATTCGATGAAAACATTACTTATTTTTTATTTTATAGCAAATATGTTTTCCATATGTAAAATATGTATGTATATGGACTCATTCTTCAGTTCTGGGTGGTGGAAGCGTTAAATTTCCAAAAGGTTGATTTTCCTATATGTTTTTGGGCCCCCCTTATGTATATGCATACATATATAAAACAAACGACCAGTGATAACTTAAAACAAAAAAAGAAANTATATAAATACATATATAAAACAAACGACCAGTGATAACTTAAAACAAAAAAAGAAATGATACTTTATTGATCAGTTGCTGATATCTACGTATATATAACTAATGCATTTTCTTTGTTGTATTACTATTTTATAACGCAAACACACCACAAATTTGTTACTTATTTACCGTAAAGCATATATTAAATTTATCTGCGATAATATTATGTTTTGACTTATTATTGAGACACTCGTATGCAAATTGCTAACATATTTTTATAGTTTTAATAATTGTTTGAATGTACTCGATGATTTTTTTTTTTTAATTACAAACTTTTTAATGTAATTTCCTTACTTAGTTTAAAACGTCTCCAATTTTGGATTTGATCCTCGAAGGCGTTCGATCGCAGCCATAATAATTTACCTACATATATACATACATACATATGTACATATATATGACACACTAAGTATGTATACATACGTCGTATATTTATGTATATACTCACATGGATATGTAGATAAATATGCATAAACAGTTAGGGTCAAAAAAATGTATACCCTGACGTTTTGACGATGTTATTTATTAATGTTTATCTATTTTTGTATGAAAGAAAATGCGTAACACCCTCGACAAAAAAATCTTACAAGTTAACGGTAATTTTTAGCGACTTGAAACTCTAATGTACCTAAATTTAATGGGCCACAAAACTACACACTCAAAAAAAAATCTAATTGAAAAGTTCTTGCATTTTCCCCGAGATCTCAATGAAATTAAAAAAAAATGAATCATGTGGTTTTTGCTGTTGAATAAACCATATTTTAATAAAAAAAAGGAAAAAGTTGGTATGGAAAATATAAATAAATAAAGTCGTCAGAGAATGGACATTTTTGACGCTGACTGTATGTACATTCATACATACGTATTTAATTGTTATTTTTACTCAGTTGCCTTACTTAACAATTTCATATATATACGCATGTACATATGTAGGTAGATATTATTTCATACATTGTATGTACATATGTATGTATGTAGATATTTGTATATACATATAATAAATAAAAAATACATATATTTTTTAATTTAAGACACAACTAATAAACTATCGTTTACAAATCAATTATTTTTTTCTGTTATTGAGCTTGTAATCATCGCCCGAATTAGAGTCCAGCGTAACACACATTCGAAAACAACAACCTGACTAGGCACGGATTACGTGGAATTTCTCCAAGCCTTTGATCGCCATTTACCAGGAAGTGCCCAAAAACGATTTTTTTTTTTCATAATTAAGAATAAGAAAAAAAAACTTAAATTTCAAGCTCCGTCTGATGGGGATTGAACCCGGACAGCCTTGGTNAAACGCAACTCCTCATCGCCCGAATCAGAGTCCAGCGTAACACACATTCAAAAACACCAACCTGACTAGGCACGGATTACGTGGAATTTCTCCAAGCCTTTGATCGCCATTTACCAGGAAGTGCCCAAAAACGATTTTTTTTTTCATAATTAAGAATAAGAAAAAAAATCTTAAATTTCATGCTCCGTCTGTTGGCGATTGAACCCGGACAGCCTTGGTAGCAACCCAAGAATGATAGAATACTTTATTCTATCATTCTTGGTAGCAACCAATTGTATCAAGCATCTTAGCACACACAGCTACAGCCATGCATAATGTGACCAACCGTACTTCTTTCGCAAATAATAGTCCAAATTTTTTTAATTTAAAAATACGTAATGCTTAAATAGAATGCTTCACAAAGAATATATGTACTTTATTATTTAATAACGACTAGAACACACTTTTNGCACTCTTACTTAACAATTTCATATATATACGCATGTACATACATATGTAGGTAGATATTATTTCATACATTGTATGTACATATGTATGTNACTTAACAATTTCATATATATACGCATGTACATATGTAGGTAGATATTATTTCATACATTGTATGTACATATGTATGTATGTAGATATTTGTATATACATATAATAAATAAAAAATACATATATTTTTTAATTTAAGACACAACTAATAAACTATCGTTTACAAATCAATTATTTTTTTCTGTTATTGAGCTTGTAATCATCGCCCGAATTAGAGTCCAGCGTAACACACATTCGAAAACAACAACCTGACTAGGCACGGATTACGTGGAATTTCTCCAAGCCTTTGATCGCCATTTACCAGGAAGTGCCCAAAAACGATTTTTTTTTTTCATAATTAAGAATAAGAAAAAAAAACTTAAATTTCAAGCTCCGTCTGATGGGGATTGAACCCGGACAGCCTTGGTAGCAACCAATTGTATCAAGCATCTTTGCACACACAGCTACAGCCATGCATAATGTGACCAACCGTACTTCTTTCGCAAAAAATAGTCCACATTTTTTTAATTTAAAAATACGTAATGCTTAAATAGAATGCTTCACAAAGAATATATGTACTTTATTATTTAATAACGACTAGAACACACTTTTAAAGTAATTAGTAAACTTCCACTTCATGTTGAAAAAAAATTCACCTACATCGAAACGTTGAAATAATAATCTCTGAGTGCTCGGATAACGGCGATGATTTTTGCCAGTACGTTGAATGACACAACCTTTGAAAGAATTCAGGCGAACATCGATTTCCCCCTCCTCCAGCTGAAAAGTGTTGCTTGTAAATAAATTTTTTGTATAATACACAATAGCTCCTATTTACCTCATCAAATCCGTAGATGTCTTGGTAGCAGGTATAAGAAATGCAACGACGTACACATGACTTCTTCACAACTCCTTCTAGATTTTCGCATAGAGTATTTCGCTCACATGAAGTCTCAAATTCGTGGTATATAATCTCCTTACATTTTAACAATAATAATAATAAGTTTCACAAATAACAGGATAAATCAATATTGTATTTATGTTAATACCCACATTTTTACTTGTTTCCTTGTATGCATACTCTGGAAAGTGAAATGTGGCTGCCTTTGGGAGTGGCTGACCACTGGCACCTTTCTCAACGAATTGGCTCGTATATGATAAATTTAAATGCGCTAATATAATTGATAAACTTGCAAACATTACTGTTAACTCCATTTGGCATACTTCTATACCATCCAATAGTTCTTTTATACTTATCCCCCCCGAACATTTGACACTTGCCAACATATAGGGGTTGAAATGATATTAAATGCGTGAACAAGCGTACATTCATACATACATATGTACAAATATACGTATATTATATATGGTCGTTGTCATTACCAAAGGCTGTAATTACCCGTAAACCGGCACTTTGGGCCATCAAAATGAATACAGATTCAGAATTTATATCGAAGCTGTTTTAAATAAGTATGAAAATAATAAAATAAACGAAGTATTAGAATTGCACCTAACTGCTCCTTATTAAGGTCTATGTACATATGAATGTATGCCCAAAAGTGATGATTTATTTTTATACCCGAGCGCACTTGTGCACAAGGGTATATTAACTTTATTCGCATAACGGTTCTTTGTAACAGCCAAAACGAATCGAGATAGATATGGACAAATGTATACATAAATGCTCACAATGAAAAGAGAAATCGATTGAGCCATGTCTGTCTGCCCGTCCGTCCGTCTGTCCGTGTCGAAAGTTGGTCCTTTATTCAAGATAAGTTGGTATTGATAATGTGCGAAATCGGACTTTAACCACGCCCGCTTCTAATATAATTGTATTTTCGAAAAATGCAAAAACTACGATATTTCAGTAAATAACAAATGCAAATTTTTTAAAATTAGTATGTGAAATAAAATTTTGGTGCAAAATAATATTATTATGAAATTTTTGGAAAATGGACGTGACCCCGCCCACTTATGATGAAATGCTGTATCTCAGTAGCCGTTTCACCAATCCTTACCAAACTCGGTACGAGCCTTGAAAATATTTGAAATCGGGCAATAACCACGCCCACCTGCCACATAACGGTAATTTACAGAAACACGAAATATGCGATAAATCAGTAACTACTGGAGCTAATTCACTTAAAATCGATGATTGCAATATCCACTTAACAGAAAATTAGAATCTATAAATTTTTAGATAATGGGCGTGGCGCCGCCAACTTATGACCACAAATGGGGTCAGGAATTTTGATGTTAATTGTGTAACGAGTAGTCATATTATCAAACACGAGAGTCTGGTCTACCTAACCGGAACGACCCAGATTCATATCTGGCCAAGGACTGTCACTCCAGCATCATTCCCCAGAAACTCTTTGAGGAATTTATATGCTGTTTTATACCCAAGTGCAAGGCGAATTCAATTTCGCCTTGTCCAAATTCATGTCAGGAAGACTTTAAGTGCTTTAAAAATGGAAAACACATAGTATGTAGGAAAATATTACTTCATTAAGCTTTTTAAATTTATTTAATTTTTTATGAAATAGGCTATAAGTCTATATAACAACTAACAAAAAAAAATCTTTTTTTTTTTGCATATGTACATTAGGGTGGTCAGATTTCCTAAGCCTCAACCCC